CTCAGAAGATAAAGCTCCCATATTTTTTTCTAAGTACGCCAATGGATTCTACGTAAAAAAAGACGTATTTTTCCTTTTTGCACTTTTTCTATATCTCCGTAGGGTAAGAAGTTATAGAGGATTATAAAAAACAGCTGATTTGGAAAAACACCCTGTACCTCGCAAACCAAACTTGTTGGCCAAGATCTGACTACACCATCAAATGACACACTAAAAAAGGGGACGGGAAGCGTATATCAGTTTCTCAGTATCTTCGGCCATTTTAGCTGTATACCAGGGGCGCCGATTACGTGGGTGCTCGGGGGCTCGAGCACCCACTCTCTAGTTTTTGGAAAACTGGTTAATTTTGTACTTCGGGTTCTTGAAATCTGGTTAACCAAATGTCAAAATGGTTACCGGCCATCGGATGTCGGTTCTGTTGGTTTTATCAAGATTTTATCTGTAACTTCTGTCAATTACCTATGTTTTATTTCTAAAGTCTGTTTTTTTTTTTAAAGATAAAAGTCAAAATGACATTATGTTGGCAATACAATGTAAAATTGTCAAGGCTTTCAAATTTTTAATGTAGGAAAGGCTTGTGTTGCCAACATAGTTACTAAATTTTTGACTTGGGGAATTATCTTTAAATAAAAAACAAACTTTATATTTGCGTTTCCCAAAGTAACCGGAATGTTCAGTAACATTCGGTTACTTTACTCTGTTCCAACAGACATGAAAACCTTTCTAGAACGGTAATTTCCAGTCGATCAAACCATTTGTCAATTAGGAAAAACGTTTAACTTATTGAAAAATAAGTGGGCAACTGGAAATTATTAGTTCTGGAACGGTTCTCATGTCTGTTGGAACAGAGCTAATGGCGTTTGGTTATATTTGTTTATATATAGGTTATGTTCCGATATCAACTCTGTCAGTCCTGAATTTACTGGACGTCGTTCCAATATTATTTTCAGTACACTGGATTTAGTCGATTCAGTACTGAATGACTATACAAGAGTACACTGTTGAAATTCGAACGGCAAATGACATTAAAATCAGCACAGTAAATCCAGTTCTGACAGTTGATATCGGAACATGGTGGTACTTTGTTTAGAAGAAGAAGAAGATGAAGAAACTCAAAAATCTTTTATGGAGAACAGCGTAAAACGCAGATTTTCGATACATGCTGTTTGGAAAAGAATATCTGCAGGAGAGTTTTCCACACTTTACAGTAGAGTGTTTTCACAGCTATCAGACCAATACCCACCTCTACCACGTAAAAACCTCCCTCCAGCACAGCCATCATACCACTACCCAGTGGCGGCTGGCCCTAAGGGGCTAAGGGGCCGTGGCACTGGCGCAAAATATTTCGGTCCTTTTAAAAGATTTTTTTTTTTTAGTTCAATAGTTATTACAATCGTCAGATCAAATTACTTATCATTTTATAATTTGATCCCGACGGAAAAATTTCTGTCGTTATTATTCGTAAATTTCCTAGACAATAATTTAAGCGACTGACTAAACTAAACTCGCTGGACTATCCGTCCGAGCCAATCTCACAACGGCCCCGCTGCAACACGGCAATTACATTGGAGAAGGTCACGTCGCGCTCCCAGTAACCAGCTGTTTTTATACGTATAAACGGGGCCACCTGATCGAACGGCCCGGATTAGTTTTTGCGGCAATTTAATTAACACACAACACATAACAAAAACCTGGAACAAGCCAAGTGAGCTGGAACAAGTCTGGAAAATGTCTGGATAAAGCTGGACGAAGTCTGGAAAAGTCTGGAAATCTCTGAAAAAGTCTGAAAAGAGCCTGGAAATTCCTGGAAAGGGTTGGAAAAATTCTGCCAAAGGTCCCAAAAGACCTGGGGATCACTTATCAGAATCCGGATCAGTCTGAATAAGTCTGGATAAAGTCTGGATTAATCTGGATGAAGTCTGAAAAACTCTGGAAAGCTCTGGATAAGTCTGGATAATATCTGGAAATCTCTGGAAAAGGCCTGGAAATTTCTTGAAAGGGTCGGAAAAATTCTGGAAAAGGTCCCAAAAGACCCGGGGATCATTTTCCAGAATCCGGATCAGTCTGAACAAGTCTGGATAAATCTGGATAAAGTCTGTAAAACTATGGATATTGTCTGGAAAAGTCTGGAAATCTCTTGAAACGTCTGGAAAAGACTTGGAAATTTCTGGAACAGGTCGGAAAAATTCTGAAAAAGGTCCCCAAAGACCTCGGGATCATTTTCCAGAATCCGGATCAGTCTGAACAAGTCTGGATAAAGTCTGGAATAATCTGGATGAAGTCTGGAAAACTCTGGAAAGCTCTGGATAAGTCTGGATAATGTCTGGAAATCTCTGGAAACGTCTGGAAAGGACCTGGAAATTTCTTGAAAGGGTCGGAAAAATTCTGGAAAAGGTCCCAAAAGACCTGGGGATCATTTTCCAGAATCCGGATCAATCTGTACAAGTCTGGATAAATCTGGAAAACTCTGGAAAGCTCTGAACGAGTCTGGATAATGTCTGGAAAAGTCTGGAAAAGTCTGGAAATCTCTGGGGCTGACACGCTTTTATAATACATCGAACTAAAAAGTGAAAAATATAGTTTAAAAAAACTAAAAACACGCTTTTATAGATAGTAAATTGAACTAAAAAGTGAAAAATAATTTTTAATATATACAGAAAATATTAATGAACAAAAAATATTAGAATTATTGTCAAAAAAGCGTGGGGTGTTCAAGGTATGAGAAATGTGGAACAAAGCACCCCACGCGTTTTAGTTCAATTTACTATAAAAGCGTGTTTTTTAGTTTTTTTAAACTATATTTATTTATTTTTTTGCGTTCTTTTTCAAGTCTTTTGGAGGGGGGACGCCACTGTGTATGTTAGTATGTGTGTAATGCATGCAGTTCGATGAAGTTTTCACTTCTACTGGGTGCGAACTGCACACTTTTTTTTTATAAGTTTGATGCCTATTTGATTTGTATCGTGCCTTATAAGTGCTTCATAAGTAAAACGCCGAACACCAAAGGAATTTAATTTTTTTTACTGTCTCGTTTGATTTGACTATCGATAGACAGTCAACGTTGATTCCAGGAATATCTTATTGGTTAGATTTTTTAGCGGCGTCCCTGGCGCCATAGGGCGGCATATTTCTTTGAAGCGCCTGGCGCAAAGAAATCAGTTCCGTCTGGAAAGACAGTGCAGTAGATATTTTTTATAAATTTGATTCCTATTTGATTTGTATAGTGCCTTATGTCTCATTTTATATAAAACTGTTTTATTAAATTTCTCGTACTCCGCCCGTGCTTCATTTATTATTTTGTAGAAATGGTAAATGCCCACGTTTGAATTGAGAATAAGTGAAAAAACTTTCTGGGGCGTGTTTTTTTTACAACTTTTAGATCAAAATTTGGGTTAGTTTGGGTCAGCCCAAAAAAATTTGCGCGCCTCTGGGGCTTCCCCCCTGAGTGTGTGCACCGCCAACTTTTCCTCTCACCAGCCGCCACTGAAATAGGATTAGGATTGATATCTGTATTGTAAAAACTTATAAAATATATATCTTTTGATTGAGAAGGGGTGTTGGATTTGCAATCAAAAGACATGTTCTATAGAGTATAGAGTACTCCGAGTTAAGTTCGGTCCTGGGGTGCGATTTTCGAAACCATTCGAGTACATTTCGTATACGAAATTTGACTGCTCCCCATTTAATTTACATTGCTGTCAGTCAAATTTCGTATACGAAATGTACTCGAATGGTTTCGAAAATCGCACCCCTGGGGTGCGATTTTCGAATTCATTCGAGTACGTTTCGTATACGAAATTTGATACGATTTCGAATGCTCCCCATTTAATTTACATTGCTGTCAGTCATATTTCGTATACGAAATGTACTCGAACTGTGACTCGAATGGTTTCGAAAATCGCACCCCCTTGTCTAAGGTGTCAATAATAATAATGTGTGGTTATGTTGTAAGGTTAGCCAATGTTTGTTTTTCTGTTGTTTAAAAATAAGTCCACGTTTTTGGCTGTAAAGTGGCTGTAATTATTTAACCAATTTAATGTCAAGCTGAGTTTAGTTTTCTTATATTAATCAATAAAACGTTGTTCAAAGTGTAGTAGTGTTTTTATTAATATTCACAAACTTATATTTGGTGCTTTCACTTTCAAAGAATCCATCACCTTTACCCTTTACCTACATACAGTGGCGACAATAGAGGTCCCGCCGCCATTTTGTTCCCAACCTCTTCTTGTTACTTTTAAATATGCATTTATAAGATTTAAATGGACATCTTTCATAAAGAAATGAAATCGACGATTTGATGACTATTATTAGGTCCATCAAATACGTTGTTTTCCATGTTTTGTGATGGATGTTCACCTACTTAAATCCCATATATTCATATTTGAAATAAGCAAATAGGTGGGCACAAGATGACGGCGTTATCAATATAAATATATGGGATTTTAGAACCAATCAAAAATTGTCCCATTACTATAAAATTTGGTGAAATTCAACCGCGGTCAGAAATCCCATAAAAAGTGTGCGGAGTCCATTCATATAACTTAAGGTCCCATAAGTACCCTGAAAGTCCTGAAACCCTACCGATTTTGGGGAAAAAAATAGACACAATGTTGATAGAGAAAATATTAATTAATAATTATTCAGTAAATTTCATCCTAATAGAAAACTAAATACATATCCTGAAAATTTCAGCTCATTTGGACCTTATTCTGTGATAAGCGGGATACTAAAAAAGCCACTTCAGCCTACTAGTGACGTCACTTAGAACGGATTCTCTACTAGATGGCGCTGCAGTTGCATAAGATTTAAAATATCGATAATAATAATTATTGTTATATTAATTAGTGTATTTTTTATTAATTTTATAAATAATACATAAAACAAACAACTTTAACCCCTTTTGGCTGTTTTTTTTTTTTTAAATTTCAAGAAAATTGATATATTGAGTTCAGCGCCATCTCGTAGCAAACCCTAGCATTCATATTCAACCTAAACAAACAAACCTAACCTCACTTTATTTTGAACTTTATTTATCAAAAAATATATCAAACAAAATAATATTCCTTCTAAACCGTAAGCCCTTTATATTATATTCTACCAAAATTATACAAAAAATGTCCAAATCAAAAACAATTTTCTACGTTTCAAGACTCTTGTACCCCAAATACCATCCTATATGGCTTGTTATTTACATGTATTTCAAGTACCACTCGGTAATCAAGCGCCACATTAAATACAACTTAAAAACCCTCTCAGATGGTGTCTTATGGAATATTGTAAAAAACTACCCGAAAAGTAACTGTGATATTAACAATTGTGTCTTAATACATCCAGACAACATTTATCCAAGTGACAAAATTTTACGTTTGTACCACGAAGATTCAGGCACTTCCAGAAAACTCCAAGTAATACCTGAAACTAATTGCAACAAAAACACATTGTACGTATCCAATACGTATTTTTACAACGATTTTATAATGAAAATTGATTTTGACTTAAAATTGAGCAAACAAGGCACCAAAGTAGAATTTGCCCAAGAAATCGAACTATCTTTAGTATCGATTCCTTGCGATATCAGTAACGCAATCATTGACAAAATAATTGAAAACTATTTCAAATTGCCTAAGCTTATATGCCACAAAGACATTGTAAGTGTAAACTTGAAATACTTCTGCCAAGAGCTATTTTATGGTGAACCCAAACTAAATTTAATTGAAAATGTTTATTTTAAATGCAACAAACTTATTTATAACAACAAAGAAGTTGACAATGAGTATTTGTGTCTAGTTGGAGAGACTAGTATTAGACTGGGGCCCAATGTACAAAGTTTTGTACCAAAAGTTATTTTAATGCCAACTGAAATGGGGAGTTTTTCAGAAGTAACTGTAATTCCTAGTGGCTTGGAGCAAGAATTTGAACAACTGGAAAACGCAATTTATCCATTTTTAAGCAACAGTAAGTACTTATTTATAAGAGTAAATTTTATTATATTATAATTTATTCTTCATTTATACGCTCTGTAATATGTTTAGGCTTTGCCAACTCCAAAATCCTTTTTGTTGGATTATAATTCATTGCACTTTTGCTGACAACTGTTATCGGTTCAGAAATTGACTCGGTTTGTTTGTTAATAGATTTCTTCTCGTTTACATATTTGGGCTTGGCTAGATATTTTATTCTTGCAGAGGCCTTGTACTGCATCGCAGACTTTTTAATTTTGTGAGTGGCTTCTTTTTCAACAGCCGGATAATATTTCTTTGGCTCTGCCAGTTTTTGTATACGAGATTCTTCCAGGTTAATCTTTTCTTCATGCGGCTGGGACATTTCTTATTGCTTCACACTGGTAATTTTTAATGAATGAATAATGGATTTAATTAAACTTTGACAACAATTATTATTGACATTTTTGGTGACTGGTAATGGGTAAGTTATGGAATTTTATCTTGTAGAGAGCTTGAAGTTGAAGCCAATATTTCTGGTGCAAGGCGAAGAAGGTTGTGGAGACGATGTTTTGATAAAGGCTCTGGCTAAAACGGAAGGAATGCATCATTTTCGGGTGAACAATTCAGATCTTTCTGCTAATGTTTACGCTCAAAATGAGTCAAAGTTGAATAACGTGTTTTTCACTGCTAAAATGGCAGCACCCTGTATTTTGTCTATACATAAGTTCGAGGTAAGATAATGGATTTGTTAAAGGGGGTAAACCTTAGAAGAATGCTTTGTACAGTAATTCCTTTGAAAATGTCTCTCTAGAAATTTCTCCTAATTTCTATAGACATAAAAATATATTTCTTTTTATTTAGAAAAAAATTAGTCATAGGCATGTTTTTTCTATTCCAGGTTCTTGAATGTTCTTCATTTAGACCAAGGGGTAAACCACCATCCCAGAATTGGTGCAAACAATTCCTCAAAGGGGAATTTTTTTCACATAATTCCTCAAAATTCCTGCAAATTCCTCTAAATCCCTGCAAATTCCTCCAAATACCCCAAAAATTCCTCTAAAAAAACATTTTCAGTGGTAAAACGCTTTAGTGCAACATGTAGTTTCTTATAAGCTGCATTCCTAATGTTGTAGTTAGCCTTTTTGGACCGAATTCAATATAAAAATATGCGGATTATATTAGTTTTCAAGAAAAATCTATAAATTAGAGGGGTTCTATTTCAAGGTGCGAAGCTGGTTTTGATAGGGCAATCCTATCAATATGGCGGCCTAGGTCAACAGTGAAATTCGCGCTATAAGGATTTTTAAGCGCTTTTGCTTTTCTAAATTAAATACATGCAAGGACTAGTATGCATTACGTGGACGGGTTAGTTTGGGGTCGTTTGCGGTTCTGGTGAACATTAGGACCCACAGAATCTAACAATTTTTGAATATGCAATAGAAATATTGCATTTTGGACTTATTAAAACAAAAAAAACGATGGATGAACTGAGATTGTTGCCAAAAAAAATACGACAATATCGATTTTTCAGAGATATTTGTGCATGAAAAATGCTTCAAAATGATGATTTGTTTCTATACGGTGAGAAATATTTAAATTTAATAAATTCAAAGACAATAAGTTGCTCGATTATTTCAGCAGTCCCAGAAGGTAACTCGAATGATAGTTTTTTAATATATAGAAATTGTTCTAGTATGTTGAATTTTTGCATGTAGAGCGATATTAAGCTGATAAGAACAGATATTATTCATTGATCTGTGTTAAAGGTTGAGAAGAGGATCGCTATTCATTTGTGTATTTTTTTTTCACTTACCTATGTATTTATATACATATTTCGATAAAATTATTTTCTTTTTTTTGATTTTTCTTTTGTTGTTATTATTGGAAGATTTATAGATTTATGTGAATAAAGTTAAGTTGGTTTATGGTTAATTTTCCTTCAATGAAACGCTTTATTTAAAAAAATTATATATGCGAAGTGGAAATAATTAACGAGTCTTCAAATTCACGTTAATGGAAAAACTTGGCAACATTCTAAGTACCTAGTAGTCTTAGTGGAGTTTTAGCATTGAAATGTTGTGTAAATGGCTTGTTTTATTATTCTTTTTGATGCGTTTCCTCCTTTCAAAATTGCGTTATCCAGCGATTTTTTTCTTTTAAACTGTTCTATACTAATAGAGGTTTTCTCTAAAAAAAAAAATAAAAGTGAAATTCTGTGGGTCCTTATGTTCACCAGACCCCTAGTTTGCATATTTTTGGTTAGTTTTTTTACAGTTCATTTAATACTGGTTAAAAGTGTACTGGACTACTGGTTGATAATGATTGTTTTCTTAAATTCAATACATGGAAGGACTAGTACGCATTACATGGACGGGTTAGTTTGGGTTAGTTTGCATACTTTTGGTTAGTTTGGGTTACAGTTCGTTCAATATTTACTGGTTATAAGTGTACTGGTTAAAAGCAAAGCGCGCGAAACGCGTTTTTGTTTTTCTTAATTCAATATTAACTTACAAGGACTAGTACGCATTACTTGGACGGGTTATTTTGGGTTAGATGGCATATTTTTGGTTAGTTTCGTTATAGTTCGTTTTACTGGTTATAAGTGTACTGATTGACAACACAGTTTACATGGACGGGTTAGTTTGCATATTTTTGGTTAGTTTCGTTACAGTTCGTAAAACCTAAAAATAATTTAAACCTAAAATAATTTAAATTAAACCAAAAAAATTGCTTGTCTATTGCCGCCATATTGTTTTCGTTTGCCGGTTGGATTGTCAATGTCATTCTTGGGGCGGTTCAATAACAAGTCTCTATTCTTATTATTCTGCCGCGGTGTAATGGTAAAATAGGAATAGGGTTTTTTTATAAAATTGTGAATTTTCGCTTACTACGGCAAAAAACGTCAATATCCGCACTTAAATTGATACAAAACCAACCATATAGAGGATATATCAACTAATTTTTATAGAAAATTTGTTAATTTTTGTTGCACTAAAGCGTTTTACACCCAGTTTTCCTGGAAAACTAGTGAAGGGAAAATTTTGAAACTTTTGAAACTTTATGCATATAAAGAGGGAGGTAAGAATATCATTTTCCCAAAATATAAAGGTTTTCCAGTGGAAAACAGCAACATGAAAAATCTTGGAAATCAAGCTACACAAACTGAATTACTTGAAAATACAGTCTCCTACATTTCAAAGTTTTCCTAGAAAACTAGTGAAGGGAAAATTTTGAAACTTTTTGCATGTTAAGAGGAAGGTGAGAAGCTCATTTTCCCAAAATTTCAAATTTTTCTAGTGGAAAATAACAACATGAGGAATATTGGAAATCAACCCACAATAACTGAATTAATTGAAAATAGAGTCTCACACATTTCAAAGTTTTCCTGGAAAACTAGTGAAGGGAACATTTTGTAACTTTTTGCATGTAAAGAGGAAGGTCAGAAACTCATTTTCCCAAAATTTCAAATTTTTCTAGTGGAAAGCAACAATATGGGAAATATTGGAAATCGACCTACAATAACTGAATTAATTGAAAATACAGGCTCACATATTTCAGAGTTTTCCTGGAAGACTAGTGGAGGGAAAATTTTGAAACTTTTTGCGTGTAAAGAGGAAGGTGAGAAGCTCATTTTTCCAAAATTTCAAATTTTTCTACTGGAAAATAACAACATGAGGAATATTGGAAATCAACCCACAATAACTGAATTAATTGAAAATACCAGTCTCACATATTTCAGAGTTTTTCTGGAAAACTAGTGAAGGGAAAATTTTGAAACTTTTTGCATGTAAAGAGGAAGGTGAGACGCTCATTTTCCCAAAATTTCAAATTTTTCCAGTAGAAAACAGCAACATGAAAAATCTTGGAAGTCAACCTACAAAAACTGAATTAGTTGAAAATACGGTTTCACACATTTCAAAGTTTACCTGGAAAATTAGAGAAGGGAAAATGTTGAAACTTTTTGCATGTAAAGAGGAAGGTGAGATGCTCATTTTCCCAAAATTTTAAAATTTTCCACTGGAAAACAGCAACATGAAAAATCTTGGAAATCAACCTACACAAACTGAATTAGTTGAAAATACAGTTTCACACATTTCAAAGTTTTCCTGGAAAACTAGTGAAGAGAAAATTTTGAAACTTTTTGCATGTAAAGAGGAAGGTGAGAATCTCATTTTCCCAAAATTTCAAAATTTTCCAGTGGAAAACAGCAACATGAAAAATCTTGGAAATCAACCTACACAAATTGAATTAATTGAAAATACAGTTTCACACATTTCTAAGTTTTCCTGGAAAACTAGTGAAGGGAACATTTTGAAACTTTTTGCATGTACAGAGGAAGGCGAGGAACTCATTTTCCCAAAATTTCAAATTTTTCTAGTGGAAAATAACAACATGAGGAATATTGGAAATCAACCCACAATAACTGAATTAATTGAAAATACCAGTCTCACATATTTCAGAGTTTTTCTGGAAAACTAATGAAGGGAAAATTTTGAAACTTTTTGCATGTAAAGAGGAAGCTGAGAAGCTCATTTTCCCAAAATTTCAAAATTTTCCAGTGGAAAACAGCAACATGAAAAATCATGGAAATCAACCTACACAAATTGATTTAGGTAGTTGAAAATACAGTGTCCCACATTTCAAAGTTTTTCTGGAAAACTAGTGAAGGGAAAATTTTGAAACTTTTTGCGTGTAAAGAGAAAGGTGAAAAGCTCA